ACCACCCAAAAGGCTTGTAGCCTGCATGGGATAAATGGGAAAGGGAGGCTTGTTGCTGCTGTATCCTGCTTGCCATGCTATGGACTATTTCTTCTCTGCCTGGCCTTTCTGCCATGCCACCCTGCCTTGGAGCTCACTGACTATGAATGGAAACCTCTACAGACTGTGAGCTAAAAAGAAATCTGCCTTTAACCTTGGGTGTCAGGTACTTTGTCTCAGCAATGAGTAAAGTAAGACAGATTTATATATATATTTAAAAAATATATATATATAAATATATTTTTTCCTTTTTCCCAGAACTGGTCATTGAACCCAGGGCCTTGTACATGCTAAGCAAGTGTTCTACCACTGAGTTACATCCCTAGCCCATGTCTTTGCAGTTCTAAGATTTAAATTGAACTTATTCACATTTTCTTTCAGTTATTTTAGTTTCACTTAGAAAACATATATATTTGACTCATTTACAGTTTGTTAAACTACACATTGTATGAATACAACTGGTTTTCTGAACTTTTCCCCAGAAGCTTGCTGTTCTCAATATCATTTATTAAACTCATTCTTCATTCTTCCCCATTGATGTGAGGTGCTGTTTTTGTCATGCACTAAGTTGATGTGCATGTTTGGAACCAGTGATGGACTCTATTCTGTCCCATTGCTCTGTTTGTTTCCCACACTGTTTTAATTTCTCAGGTTTTGGTTATATTTTCATATCTGATAGCACTAGTCCTTCCTATTTCTCCTTTTTTTCCTCCAGACATTTTCTTGCTAAGCCTTCATGGCAACTTCATTTTTCCATGTGAACTTTACAATCAGTTTGTCTAATCCCAGAGGCAAGCAAACAATCTACTAGTGTTTTCATGTTGAAGTAGCTTTAGACTGATAAACTTAGGGACAGTTAATTTAATATTGTTCCAAAAAAACATTTATTGAACTTATTGGTTTGAACCTTTTGTGATCTTCAGGAATGGTCCCCTAGCCTGTTCTTAACACCAAAGATAAGATGTAGACACACGTAAGTTTTGCACATCTTTTCTTCCATTGTATCGTTTGTTTGATTGTGGTTTGGATATAAGAAGTCTCTTGATTTCTTTGTAATACTTTTATATTTCATCTCTCACTGAATTCCATTTTTGTTTGTAGTGGGTCACCGACAAATTCTCTGGGTTTTTTCAGGCATATAAACTTATGATCTGAATATAGCCAGACTTTCACCTCCCAACACTTTTAGAGGACTTTCCCTTGTCTCATTGCTCTGGGTAATCCTTCTAGGACAATATGAGATACTAAGGGTGACAGTAGGTATCCTGTCTTAATACTATTTCTAGGGTCATCTCTAGGATCTCTCTGCACAAGTGGAAAGCTGCTTTTGGGTGTAAGAGATATGAATTGCATTTTACTATGTTAAGGAATAATCCCTTGATTTCTACTATATTATATATTTAGAAAATCAAGCATAGGTGTTAAATTTTGTCAAATGCCCTTTCTGTGATACAATCATTAAATCATATTTACCTTCCTTAAATAAGTAATTTGGATTTGCAATTGCTACTTTGAAATAGTAAGACTGACTGTCTTAATACAATGTTTTGAATAATGCCCTGGGTCCAGAAAACATTTAGCTCTCCCAGGACAACAATCATTAAATGTACATTTGCCAGTCTCAGTGCCGACCATCTTCACAATGTGTATTCATCAGCTTTCCTATTGCTGGGACAAATTACCCAGCGCCCACAGCTTACAGGAGAGGTTTACCTGGCTCACAGTTTCAGAGGCTTCAGTCCAGTGTCAGACAGCTCCAAGACAGAAACATCATGACAAAGGGCCTGGTGGAGCCTGGTGGGAAGCAGAGCAGGGGAAAGCACTGGAGAGCAAGGGGCAATGCAGACACGGATGCCAAGGTCACGCCCCACCCAGACACCCAGAAGTGTGCTGTACTAATACCCTGGCCACCCTAAGCCAACCAGGTTGGCAGTGAGGACCTTCATACCCTGTTCGCCTAATTCAATTTTGGTGAAACTCCCCTAAGATGCTGTAGATTTCAGGCAAGAAAAGATAGGATGATAAAGCTACCAGAGCAGCAGTAAAGGTGAGATATGAAGGGGGAGGGTGTGAGTGACTGAAGGGAAGCAAGAAGAGCACAAGGGCTCAGAAGAAAGAGACACAGCAGTGCCAGCACGTCCTGCAGGAGTTGGAGGCAGGTGGCTCAATTCTGTTCTCTACCACTCACAGGGTCTTGTTCCCATTTCTGGCCTGACCCAGTGTTTCCCAAGCCCTACCCACAGCTCTTCTTTTTTTGTGGGGGGGATCGAACTCGGGATGAGGCAGGCGGCGGAACCACTGAGCTAAATCCCTGGCCCCCACTGCTCTTCTTAATGAGTGTCTTCCAAAGTACTCACTTGCTTTTTAAAGATTTAATAAGCCTGGCTGTATCAAATTAACTGTACTTAAGTAATAATTAATTATCCTGCCTTTTAAACAAACTCATTTACAGCTCCCAACTAGCTTCTGGTCAGAATGTGCTAATCAGAATTACCCTGCTGAGTGAAGTGCTTTTAGCCAAGCACAAAAACGTGAAGTGTCAGTTAGCTGGAGGAGGCACTTTTGGATAAACAAACCATTCTGGAAGGCTTTTCCAAATGCTGCCATCAGTCTGCCTTGAGCTTGTTCCTTTGTTCCTGGATCTCTAAGGACATCAGACCTCAGAGGGAGCCCTCAGATCTCACTCATTTGAGATCTGGTGCTGTATGAAAGGCCGGGAATGGTGTAAATCCAGCTGTGGATGTGCACCTGCTATCTGGCAGACATATTTATTCCACTGGATCCTTCTCTTAAGAATTTCTCTAGTAGAGGCACCCAGTGATTTTTTAAAAAATTGTTTTTTTCATGTGACTAATTCCTGTTCTGAGAAAAGCAAACAGTAAGGATGAGAAAATGTATGAAGACTAATGGCGAGAATACTGCTAGGATAAAGTAACCCAGCTAAGAGAAGTCGCGGCAAGCTCCTGCCTGTTGGTGAGTGTGTGCCCCACCCAGGCCACACTGCAAATGGTTCATTCAGGGTCTCTGCAGGTGCAGCTCAGGCATTGGCAAATCTTCCAGCCCCCATGATTCCAAGGGGCACCAGTGCTCTGGGACCTCTCTGTGGCCTATGTGGCCTATGGTGAGAGCCGTTAGCGCTGCAGGCTCTTAGCACTTCTGAATCCATCCACATTTGAACAAGGCCCCCAGGATGTCTGTGTGCAGAGCAGTTACAGCTGCAGTGCATCCCCTGCACAAGACCCCCCAAGGGGAGGTGGGGGCCAAGGGACTCCCCAAGGAAGCAAATCTGGAGATGACCAGTCTGCAGGTCTGAGGGTGCTCACTGGAATCTGTATTCTAAGGAGCTTCTAGAGGATTCCTAAGCACACTGCCCGAGAACTTCTCCCAAGAGGAAAGTCAGCAGTATGACTGCTGCTTCCTCCTGTCCTGTGGCAACTCCTCGGTGACTCTAAGAGGGCAAGACACACACATGGAGGGTGAGGGACATGCTGTGCTCATCTGCAAATGCCTGCCAGCCTGAATCTAGCCAGGTTCTGCTCTCTGAACCTGTAGCAGTGCTGGTGGTGCTGGTGCTAGGTACCTAGAAGTAAATCTAACTTTCACAGTGACAGAAATAAGTCTCTACATTCTCTTATGTTAGTGACTGATACAGTTTGCAATTTGGGTGCAAAAAGTTAAGAGAGAGGAGGAGAGACTCCCCCTGAGGAGTTTTCTTAATTTTACAATTTTTGTGTGTGTGATGCTAGGGATGGAACCCCGGGCCTCATGCATGCTTGGCAAGCACTCTACCACTGAGCTACATCACCAACCCTTATTTTGACTCAGAATCTTGCTAAGATGCTCAGGCTGACCTCAAATTTATGATCCTCCTGCCTCAGTCTCCCCACTAGCTGGGACTATTAGCATGAGCCACTGTGCCAGGGTACAGTGGTCTTTTTAAATATTTTTTTGAAATTTTTGCTTAGACTCAGATTTTTAAATGATAATATGAATAAAAAAATGAAGCTAGGAATGGAAAACTTGATCCTTCTCAAGAGATGCATTTGAAGTGTGCAGTACTTGCTTGTAGTTTTAAACTTATGCGCATGCGAGATATCTAAAAGCTTCTGTGATAACAAAAGGCTGTAAGTAGGTTTCTCTTCAGATAACTAGGATTCTGAAGTACGGCTCATTCCACCCAAGGGGACCACTAAAACTTTCTAATTATAAAGTGAAACGGACCACAGTGATTCCAAGGGGTTATGAGATGGAACAGGGAGCTACGACATGATCTAAATAAAATCTAGTTTTTAAAAAATTACTGAGTCAAAAATCAGCCAAACCAAAGACATTTTTTAAAGATTTAGGGTGGTTTGTTTTAAAGACTCTCTAGGCTTTCTAAATCTGGGGTGCATGTGTGTGCAGTGCAGATTCCTTGGGAAATCCGAGGAAAGCAACGCACCCTATTCGCCTGGTGCGCATGCTGCGAGGGGAGTGCGCACCCAGGCTTCCCAAGCTCCGTGGCCTGCGGGAGCCCACTGCAGCCCCCTTTCGGAACCCAGCGCCCACCAATGTATTTTAAGGAAATTGCTCGTATTGATTTCCCCCCTTTGGAACCACTTGAGGCACAGGAGAGACGTCCTCGGCGTCTGGGCGGCAGGTGGGCGGGAAAGTCAGGCCTGGCTTTTACTTCTGTGGGCCACCTCGGGGGGACGAGCGGAGGCCGGGTGGAAGCCTGACCACCCGAGTGGGCCAGACAAGGCCCCTGGACTGAAGAAACCTGTGGCTCTTCAGAAGCACCCGCTCGGTCTTTTAGAGGCCAGGGCAGGCAGGGAAAACTTTCGCCCAAAGCTGGGAAGGAAAGTGGCTCTAGAAACACCGCCAGGCTCTCACTGTCCTGCAGACCCAGGACGTGGGAGGCGAGGCCCGACCCCCTCCCGGGCAGGTGGGACCCTCCCGCCCTCGCGCGGCCGGGCGCCTACCGGCACCATGGAGTAGGTCATCAGCATCAGCGTGTCCTGGCTCTGGGCGCGCAGGGCCGGCGCGGGCTCCCCGTGGCTGCGCTTGGCGCGCGCGGCGCTCGCGGGGTCGGGGCCGGGGCCGGGGTCTGGATCGGGGTCCGGGGCCGGGCCGGGGTCGGGGTTCCGGCCTCGCGCCAGACGCAGCTCCGTCAGGAAGGCGCGTAGGGCCGCGTCCTCGCCGCGGTCGGCCTCCAGGGCCCGCAGGGCTGCGCGTAGCCCGCGCCACTGGCACAGCGCGAACACGGTCCCCGCTGCGTTGAGGGCCGAGAGCACGGCCAGGGCCACCAGCGCGCAGCGCAGCCCGCAGCCCGCGGCCCCGCGCCCGCGCCCCGCGCCCCGCGCCATGTGAGCGCCTCGGCCGGCCAGCGGGCTGGGCAGGGCCGTGCAGGGCGCGCTTTATACCCTCGCGGGCCGGGCGCTGTGGCAGGACCTCGGGTCACGCCGCTTTTTGGCCTGGCTGCGAGGCGGGCTGGGGACAGTCGCGGCGGCGCCCGAGCCGCCCAGGGGACAGGCGGGCGGGGTCGGGGCGGGGAGCGGCTGCTGCTCTGGAGTCCGCGCAGGCTCCCTCTCCAGCCCCCGGGGGCACTGTTCAGCCAGACCGGCCGGGAGGCCAGACGGAGGGGGCGGGCAGGAATTCCTATGGCCGCCCCTCGCCCCCACACTACCTCCTCCGGAGAGCAAGGCCAGCGTGCCACATATCCCGCGCAGGCCCACTGCCGCTCCGAGGTCCGTGCTGGGCCTGGAGGGGCTGCTGCCCCCCCCCCCCCCAGGCCACGGGCTGCACGCGGCCACTGAAGACCCCACGCGACGTCCCCAGGAAGGGGATGGGCGGGGACAGGGGGACAGGGCCCTCGAGGATTACAAGGCCACCCCGCAGAACCTGTCAGGGAGGCCAGGCTCTGACAAGCAGGGAATTCTCCCACAGACCCATTCCTGGGAGGAGCAGAATGGTGAAGAAAGCCCAGGAATCAGGAATCCTGGTGCTAAAGCTACTCTGTCACGCCGAGGCCGGCCCCGAGTGTCTTCCCGGCGGAGCCCACAGTGCACTTGTCCCTAACCACCACCCTTTCCAACACCTTCTTCATATTCTGTCAGCTCAGGGCCTCCTGCTCAAGGGCTACTGTCCCCAAGTCAGAGCCACTTCTGAGCCTCCTCAGGCGACCTCTCCACTTAAGACCTTCCTCAGCACCTCCCAGAATGGCGCTGCTTCCCCAGGGCCCCGGGGCCTGCAGGAGGTACTGGTTATATGGCCAAGATTGCTTTTCCACGGCCCACTTACCCATGGAGACTGTGGCCAGCGGTCGAGCTACCTGGAGAATCAAGAAGGAAGGACTTGTCCTAGGGCCATAGCTATCTCAGCCACCTCTGAGTTTAACAGTGGAGTCTGTGATCATCTACTCCCCGGAGGTGTGATTTCGGTTCTTTTTTTTTTTCGGTACAGGGGAATGAACTCACAGCAGGCAGCAAAACCACTGAGCTAAATCCCCAGCCCTGATTTCGGTTCTTGCAGGTAGGCTTTGTGGCTCAGGACAGAAGAACCAGGTGGTATCTGACTTCTGTCTCCTCTCCAGGGAGGCTCAGGGTCGTGGCTCTGAGGAAACACAAGGGACCTGGAGTTCTACCCCACCTGGAAGCCCGGGGCCAAGGTCTGGATTCCCCAGTTTTAATCAAAGCCTTGGCCAACTTGGGTGTTCTTAGAAGAGCATCCAGGATGAGGCCGGATCAGGAAATCACCTAGGTCTTCCCTAAGAGGTCAGGGGGACCGGGAGGGGCGGCAGCAATGTAGACAACTTTGTCCCTTACCTCCCGATGGAAACATGCTTCGACCTATCTGACTTGTCATGTATGCTTTCTTTTCTAATTCATGTCAGGATTAGGGCCGATGGGGAGAAGCCGCTGAGAGGCAGTGCTGGGGCTCAGCACCAGGAAGCTCGGACTGCATGCCAGGAACTGAGACGCAGAGGGAACTGGAAGGTCGTCCTGCCTTCTGGGCTTCTCCATATCCCGAGACTCGTTTCAGTTACTGTTGACCATCTGTCACCGTTACCCACCAGCAACACCAAAGGACAGGGCTCCCAGCATAGGCGACAGCTTGTTTGGCCCCTTCACTCCCACCACACGGCAGGCACAGTCCTTGGCTCCCAGTGGGCCTTCAGTAACTGCCTGTTGAATGAGTGAGTGAGTGAATGAATGAGCCAAAGCTGTCCGCTGAGGGTATTCGTGCATAGAGCAATATGTATGTGGTGGTGGACCTGGCCCTCCGTGGTCCCTGCAAGGCTGCTGTCCAGTGGCCGGGAGAATGAGCAGTAGCCTGAGCCCCCTCCCACCCCCAGCTGTCACCCACCACATAGAGCCAGAGGTGGGAGACAGGGTGACAGTGAGGCCACTTGGAACCAGCCAGGCTCTATCAGAACCCTCGGTCCATGAATCTGCCCTTCCCGGAACACAGGACTCAGAGGGCTGTGGCATGGCCACCCATGCCTGTGCTCTGACACAGGCCAAGAGTGGTACAGAAGAAGGGCAAAGGACAGGCCAGACCCCTTTCCGTGCCACCCCGTGTCCGATCTCATCCCGGCTCTTTCTGTGCAGGATGACGGCAGTTGACAAGGAAGCAGTGTGGGCAGGCCAGTGTTGCGGGGACAGCGATGCCTTCACTCAGCCCCATGGCTCGGGCTGCCCTGCTCTTTCCCCTGCCCTCTGCCTTCTGTCTACAGCCCTCTTTCTACCACAGGGCCACATATCCACTTCCTTGCTGGCCCGTCCTCATGGGGCCTTGCCTTCCTCTGCTAGCTCTACATGTCCCTCTCCCTGAACTCTGCCAACCCCAAGGGGACAAAGGGCATGAGTGAAGAAGGGTTTCGGCATCAGACAGCCAGAGTCTGAAACTGCTTTTTAACTGTGTGCCTGTAGATGCTCTACTTTACTTCTCTGAAGAGACTAACTGGGAAGATTTAATGAGAAAATCTGCTAACTCACTCGGCACATAGCAAATACAGGTTAGTACTTTTGCCTTTGGAGTGTATGAACTTGTGGGTGCTAGAGCTATGCATTGTGCTGTGGGTTACAGGGACCCAACTCCACCATGGTCCTCACAGCAGGAACTTGGGCCCCATATGAATACTTGATTGACCAGTTGATTACACACCCTTCCTTGGTGCTTTTTGGGAAAAGAACTTTTGGATGCATGGTCAACTTGAGCTCTTGCCCAAGGACAGTGGTTTTGAGCTTTGTCTCTTGAGGCTTCTGAGAGGCAGAGGTATCTGCATGGTGTATGTTCCTGCATGGTGCTCCTCAGGATGGGCTGGTACTTTCTACTTTTTTTTTTTTTTTTGGTAACGGGGATCGAACTCAGGTCCTTGTGCTTGCAGGGCAGGCAGTGAAACCACTGAGCTAAATCCCTGGCCTTTCTACTTTTTTTTTTTTAAGTTAGCTATCAATCTGGCCTGATTTGTTGACATGGAAGGTTCAAGATACTGAAGAAGTCAAGAACATGTCCCTACAATGAGAAGCAGCTTTTCTATTAAAAGACAGATACTTTCTTTCCAAAGGTTAAATAGAATGATCCTTTAAAATACCAGCTAGTTAACTTTAGAATGTTGGAGAATGAAATCCAGTTCAGGAATATACTCCGACTTTAATTCTATAACATTTCTCCTTGATTGTGAAGTGAATAACTTTCATTTACTCCTAGGCCTGGGCTTGGGTATTTTGATCTTCTATGATGAGGGGGACAGCTATGCTGTGACTTCAGAGGAGGCTTTCTGTCACCTACTCACCCACCCCAGGCTTCCTCCCTGTGGATGACTAGGGAGAGAACTCTAAAAGTTGCCACTGTGTATGTGTTTCACTCAACCTCTTCGCTTTAACTTCTCACAACTACAATTTTAACCCTAGGAAATCCCAAACCACCCAACCAAAGCCAGCAATTCTCCTCTTGCATTTGTTCATTCCTTTATCCATTTATTCAACAAATGGTAATTGGGCACCTACAATGCCAGGAACTGTGCTAGAAGCTAGGAGCAGAATGGAGAGAGAGCGAACATCATTTCTGCCTTCCCGAAGCCTGTCATCAGGGTGGGGAGACAGGTTAAAGAAGCCTGGCATGCAGGATTAAGTAAGATCACTGCAGTGAGGAGCTTGTCCCAGATCAGAGGGATGGGGTTGGCACAGCCTTCCCCAAGGAAACCAGGAGCTGGCTCAGCAGGAGTTGGGGTTGATGGAGAGTGGGGCAGAGGGAACAGCAGTTTCCGGGGCCCGCCAGGAGGCACCTTGGCTTCTGCCAGGAGCACTGGGAAGGGCGGTGTGGCTGTAGCACAGAAGGTATCTAGAGCAAGGGGAAGGCAGGGAAGAGGCTGAGGTCAAGGCAGGGCCCAGACCCTGTGGGTGGACCCACATGGAAGCCTGTGAAGAGGTTACATGTGAGGGGCAGAGGTGAGAACTGGGAGGGTGGATGAAAGATTTTCAGTTGAAAAGATTTGCTTTTCTTATCAGGACTCTCAGTCACTTCAGAAACGATGACCTCTGACCACCGCCAGGGTATACCTCAGCCTTTACGTTTACCTTTCCACATGAAGTAAGACTGTTGAGCTCTAGAAAATGCCAGTTTCCTTTTCATCTGCACTTGCAAAGATAATTGAAACACAGACCTGTGATTAACACTTAGATTATATGGCTAATCCTGATACTAGCTAGGGTTTTGGTGAAATAATGCACTTTGTAAGAAATCAGCCAACGGTGCTTCCAGGTGACACCACGAAATCTGTAGGGTTGGGATTAAGAATAGATGACAGGGCCAGGGATTTAGCTCAGTGGAGCGGCACCTGCCTCGCAAGCGCAAGGTCCTGAGTTCAATCCCCAGTACCAAAAAAAAAAAAATAGATGACATTGCTTCCCTTGTGGGGGAACTGTGTAAGTAGCAATGGATTTCCGCTTTCCGCAGTTGCAGTGTTGTAGGTCTCCGAGCCACCCATTCATTGTGAAATGGGGTGCTGTCTTTGCTTGTAGCAGTGGAGCCATCTCAAATCCTCTCTGCCCATTGTTCCTTCTTCTTTTGCAACAGACAGACCATTCCACCTACCACACTCTTCTAGAGCATTGCAGCCAATTATCACAGGTCAGATTCTCTGGAAGCAGATGCTGAGATAGCATCTGGGGTGCAAGGTGTGTGTCATAGGGACCAGCAGAGAAGGAAAGCTCCTGTGAAATAAAGCGGAAGGAGCAGAGAAGCCCAGCTTGATGTACCTCTCCCAAGCCTTGGGCAATCCCTTGCCCCATTGAAATCTCTGGGTTGTGTGTTGCCCACCAAGGCATCCTGTGTCAGGTCAGAACAGCCGAGCCTGTATCAC